CTGAACCATTAAGTGCTGAACCATTAAGAGGCTGAAACAAACAGCCCCTTAATGTTGGAAGGTGGTAGTGACACTCCAAATACTCACTTACAAAAAATTATACCTCAAGGCTCAAACTTATACCAAAAGTATACATCAATATTTTGATGGTTTATACTCACACAAATTGTTCATGCGTTAATAAAAACGTACACTGACATAGAGTGTTGCTACATTAATAAAAATTAGCATTACATCAACACAAAATGTTGGTGCATCCCTGCAGTGTACAAACGGGCTGCAAAATTATTTTTATCCAAGTCACTTTAGTGGTTTCTCCATTAGTCTGAAAATTATTTTTAATACTTATTCAAAAAAATTATTTTTAATCCATGAACTCATATAGAACATTTTGCAATTTTAAAATTTTGATTAAAAATTTAGTTTGAATCATAATACAACAATAGTTTAATGGCCAAATAGCTTCGGTTCCCCCTGTGGTTTGGAAATTTGGCACTAATACTTCTACTGTTTTCAAAACTTATTTTTAAAGTCCCCGTAGTTTCAAAACATTGCACCCACACCCCTCTGATCATTTTACGGCCATTGTCCGGTAAAGAGTGGCATTGGCAAATAATTTCTAAATCATAGGGGCATTCGTGCTAATTTATTATTTTTGTTTATTATTTATGTTTTCCCTTTTTTTAAAATATTTTCTATCTCTTTTTCCTTTTCATAAAATTTTTTTAAAAATATATTTTCAATTTTTTATAATGTTTTAAAAAATTTAAAATTATTTTTGTTTGAAATAAAAATAAAAAAAATTAACATACATTACAAAAAATCTCAAATTAAACATTTTTAGTTTATGTTACTTAGATTAATTTTTGGGAAGTTCAAAAACACCCAGAATAAAAAAAATAAAAATATAAAAAAACGAAATGAAAAAAATTAAAATATGAAAAAAAAAAGTCTTATACAAAAAATTTGGACACGGTTATTAGAATTAAGATGTCCAAAAAGGTTTTTCATTTTTATTTTTGTATTATTTTATTTCTTATTTTATTCCTCATTTTTTGAAGTTCTCAAAAAAAATTACTTTTTTAAGAAAAAACAAAAATTGTTAATTCGAGACGTACATATGCACTATATGTTATGTTTTCAAACAAAAATAACTTGAAATTTTAAGAACATTATAAAAATAATTTAAAAAACCTTTATTAATAAATGAAACAAAAAAAAGAAAAAAATGGAAAAAAACAAAAAATAAGAGAGATATAAAAATCAGCACTAATACCCCCTATGGGACTAGAATAGTCTTGTTTAACAATCGTTCCCACGGTCTTCTTAACAAATATAAAGACCATTTCAGACCAACTGACCAATCTAATCTGGTTCATATTCCCAACATTAACAAAGAGTATCAGTAATTTATTAAAAACTCACTTATTTCAACGATACATAGCTCAAGTAAAGGAGTTGTTCTTGTTGTGTTAAAAAAGTTGGACGGAGAAAGTATGATGAATTAGGTATTGGTCTCCTATATTTATACTTTACTACTCCATCAGTCTAAAAAAAGTCCCCTAATTGACAGAAAATTTCAGAAAATGAAATTGTATGGTTATCCAAATATTGATTTTACCATTCATGATTTAAAATTTCTATAGATATTACTTCTTCAAATGTGTTAATATTTGAATTTCAAAATTGATCTCAGATCATAATCGCTAGACTCCTTCATATTCTCAGATCATAAACCTGTTTTTACTTCTTAATTCTCCTGGGTACTTTTTTTCTAATTTGACTTGTACAATTTGAAAAGTAGAATCTTTATGATTATGGTTTGTATAGGAGTGCTTCTTTGGTGCACCATAGGTGCATACAATTTTTGTGAACCTTCTTATATAAAAATCTTTTTTTATTTTTTTTAATTAAAAAAAATGGATGTTTATTTAAGCAGTAAAAAAATACTTATTTTACTCATATGTAGGTTTATGGTGGACCTTAGGTTTACCAAAGAATTTGTCTTTGTTGTAGAGGAAGAGAAAATACACTGGCCATACAATCATTTCCTTACAAGATAAGTGATTTTTTTGGGATAATCCAAAAAAGTAAGTGAGAAGATAATAGTTGGACGAAAAAAGTATTATTTTTTCAATTTCTTTAAATATTGGAGGATCAATTTTTTCGATCAGCCTTCTACCAATTCTAGGTCATTTCATGTCCTCAACGGGTTTTCCACTAGTCGTGGACTAGTCCAAGTCCTTTTTACAAACTAAGAATCATTCAAGACTATTGGTCTTGGACCAGAGTAGTCTTAAGTACTTCTTTCATTTCAATGTACTGGTTCAGTTTTGAATTTTACGATCAACTGGATCACTCATTATTCAAATAATCAAACTTTATTCACTTTCTTTAACTATTTTCGGTACTCATTTAATAAAATAATATAGTCATGTTACTTCTTGTTTCGTGAAACTTTTGATTTAGTTTTTGAATATGCAACTTTTTTTAAATTCCATCCTGTTTTCAAATAAATTAAATTGAAAATAGCTTCTGCCAAAATCATAAACTGAAATAAATGATTTAATTTAAAACAGGTGGAGTACATAATATATTAATTACATAAAACACTATTTTAAAAAAAATACTTTACCAGATAAATCAAATTAAATTATTCTTCTATCAATATCTACTACTCGATTAAATTTGATTTAATTAAAAGTCAACATTCATCAATTTTAATTGTAAAAAATTCATCAATTTTAATTGTAAAAAATTAAAACGAGAGAAGTATTTGTTTGGTTCCAATCTTTCCACTGCCAAAGCCGGTACAATATCGTTGTGGTTGCAATCCTTTTCCTCTAGAGTGATACTACAACTCGTACTAGAAATGGATGGCATCACCAAAGAATCAAGCAAGGAGATGATAAGCACGACAATTGTTTTTCATCAACATCAGTCTTTGATTGCCAGGCCACAGTCGAAGAGGCTTCACGTGCGATGTCGCGGGTGGAGCCGTCAAAATTTACTTGATTGGGATGACTATAATAAGGACCATGCTACACTTACACCAAACAATATACCTCATTTGTACACCACAGGTTTGCACAAACATTTCGATGGTTTACACCGACACAAGTGTTGGTGCGTTAATAAATATTCACACGGACACAAATATTGATGCATTTAACAAAAATTAGTTTTACACCAACACAAAGTGTTGGTGCAAAACTGCGGGGTACAAATTGGGGTACAAACTTGGGTACACAACTTCATAACCATACGGTCTGCACCCGTCAATTCAAAACTGACAACTCCAATTTAGTATCCCTTCCCTTCAATTAAAAAAGATGAGCTCATCACGATATATATTTTCAGGTTATTTGTTATTACTCCAATACTATTTATCTTTATTAAAATCAAATTAGATAATATGAGATCAAATCTAATTAGATCAAATCCAATTATATCAGAAGCAACTTTAAATATATAACTACAATTTAATCAGATCAGATCTAATCATATCATATCTTTAAAAAGTTGAATTACATTTGGCAAACGGAACGTAGCTTTATTCAGACACACATGGGAGGAGACAAATTGAGTTTTTATGAGAAATTAACTAGCAAAAAGGAGAAATCTGCACCTGGTACTTGAAGAAGTTCTATACTTAGTATAGTTACCTTTCAACGCATTTGCCAAAGTCTGGTATATGCCCCCAACCCTTTCTGATCAATAAAACCATTAGAGCATCTAGTATGATAGCATCCATCATTAGATGTTCAAATATGGATCCTACCTTAAATTTACTCCCTTCGTTTTAAAATATTTGCTGCATTATGTAAAATGAAGTGAAAGTTCAACCTTTTAAAATTATTTTATTTAAATAGTGAAAGGGGTAAAATATATTTATTTAAAAACAATATTGAGAGTTTTACAATGTACGTAACATTATTATTTTATCACATTAGTAACAAAATAAGCAAAAAAAAAAAAGGACACATAATTCCACCCTATGAATAATAACTGAAATTTTTAATGAGACTAAAATATTTAGGTTTGGTGTTCCTTCAATATGATGGAGAAAATAACCAAATGACATAGGAATGTATGTGTACTTGGTGGGAGTGAAATTACTGAACGTATAATACTTGCAAATTTTCTCCCAAGAGTAAGAGAGAATAGTGATATTTGAATTACAACAATGTCATTTACTTCTATTTACATCAACAAGAATATGCTGACCAGTAGAACATATTTCCAATTCGCACAGCAAGACTAAACCTTCATTAGAAAACTTGTCGATCGAAATATGTTGTACCGAGTACAATTTAACCAACTAAGTACAAAAAGATGATATGATATGGCTTTATAAAACAGTTTGTCTTCTTACCTTTGTAATAAATCAGTTGCAGTTTTGACAATCATCTTCACCTGGACATGAGACTGGTGCTTGGGAAATCACTAGGAGTGATGACAGCTGGATCAATTGATGATTTAAGAAATCCCACAAGTCAGGGAAACAGGAAAAATGTTCCTTGGAGTATATCTTACTTCTATCCCAAACTTTTAAGTCCCGTTTAAAATTTCAACAAGTTAAAGAAACGTGAAAATTGTGGTTGAGATTTACTTGAGAGAAACGTCATGGACCACTCAACTTTTCCTAAAAAGGAAATGTTAACTTATCTTTGGGACGGCTTGGAAAGAAAACAACAACCCAGTTGAATCCCACAAGAGTAGGGTCTGGGGAGGGTGTGTGTACGCAGACCTTACCCCTACTCGAAAGTAAAGAGGTTTTTTTCAAAGAGACCCCCGGCTCAACATCGAAAGTTGCATTGATAGACTAACTGCTACTTCATTAATTAAAGAAGCGCAGACAGTTTAGAGATCCATTTTGCTTTATTTCATCACAACCCAAAGCCAAAAAATAGTGAATTTTTGGCTCCATCGGAGATGATGGAAAACGGCTTGGAAAGAAAATGGGACTTCATTTAGGGACGAAGTGAGTAAGTACTACCAGTCATATGCTAGAAAAACAAACAGACCTTTGTTCCAGCTACTATGGTGCCCGTTATGGGATGGACTGCGCATGCGGTAATACCTTCGCTAAACGAGATAAATTGATTTTGTCTTTGTTGATGTAGACTTGTACCTTCTATCTCCTCCCTACACACGATTTGTTCGTCACAAAGCCTTAGTCCAATTTCAGATGAAAATTTCTTCTCCAAACACAAGAAGGTAATATGGAATACAAAACAAAGTAAATAGACCTCTGGCAGTATCTGCCAATTATGAAGTGCAATAAAATTAGAAGTTCATACTCAAAATCTATGTGGCAAGGGGAGCTACGGTCTGGATAGAAATCTAAAAGATGAAGTCCGTCATCTGATCCAACTGCATAGATCTGCATCCAGAAGCACCAAACAAAATTAGCTCACTCATTTTTACATCATTCAAAGCACAAATTTAAATCACAATTTAAGCAAATTGTAGCAGAGTAGTCCATACTTAAACTGATAGAGCAACTTGAAATAATACACAAACTAGACAAACAACTTCAACCAACTAAACTTCCATCTTTAAAAACTGAAAATCCTCCTAAGTGGAGTAAATGGAAATATATTACTCCCTCCATCCCATAAAAGAGCCATATTTCTCCAATGTAATACAGACTCTCGAAGTACCCACAATTTTATGGATATCACTATGGCCAAGGGATTGGGGTGTTGTTTGGAACCTATGAACAACTTAGGGGTGGGATTTGCTGATGGTACAATCTGCAGTGGACTCAGGTTTGTAGAAGATTCAAATGGAGGCTACAAAATACAGATTTCATCTCTCACATGTACATCCCTGCCACCTACAAGAGGGACTGTTGATCACAGCATCCTCTTAAAGGAGGGAAGTCAGCCAGTAAATATCAGGCCCTATAGAAATCCCACTAAGCAAAAAGATGTTATTGAAAAGTTGATTAAAGAGGGATTATCAGATTAAGCAATAGCCCATTTGCTTCACTTGTTGTGCTAGTAAGCAAGAAGGATGGCTCTTGGAGATTATGTGTGGACCTATAGACTATAGAGAACTTAATAAAGCGACTATCAAGGACAAGTTTCCCATTCCACTGGTAGAAGAGCTTATTGATGAACTTGCTACAATAGTTATATTTAGTAAATTTGATTTGAGGGCTGGCTATCATCAAATCAGAATGAATGCCAATGATGTGTTTAAAACAGCATCCGAAACTCATCTAGGACATTGAATTTCTAGTTGATGGAATTCCCACATCGGAAAATAAAGAAGAATACCACTAGCATATATAGAAAGGTGAAGCCCTACCTATCAGCTTAAGCTTTGGTTTAGAATAGTGGATCCCGACTTTATATGCAAGTGGTTAATTTTACCCGACACTCTACCCGTTGTTCTCGGCCTGCCAGAATTTTAACATGGTATCGGAGAAGGTCCGGTCCAGGTTCGATGGTTCTTGGTTGTTTGGATGTTGGTTTAGCAAAATGAGCTACCCGTCCATGGTTTAGGTTGAGTTGGGTATAAGAGAATGAGAAGCCACCGCCCGTTGTGTAGGCTAGCTAAAAGAGATTGAGATGTTAGACCTGTTCGTCCAAGTAATAACTAGAGCAGGCTAGTTATCACTTGAGGGGCAGTGATGGAATTCCCACATCGGAAAAATAAAGAGGAATACCACTAGCATATAAAGAAAGGTGAAGCCCTACCTATCACCTGAAAGCAGTGTTTGGATTACTCCAGCAGCATCCCTTAGTAGCCAAATAGAGAATATGTGTCTTTGTTGTGCCAAAAATAGAATACTTAGGGTCCGTTTGGTATACGGAATTGACAGAATTGGAATTGAATTGGAATTGAAATTACATGGAATTCAATTCCATAGAATTGAATTTTGTCAATTCCAATTCATTTTTTGCACTATCAATTCCAAATCCACATAATTTTTGTGCTACCAAACACCGGAATTGGAATTGAAGTCCTCAATTCCAATTCCATAGTTTGAATTCCATGTACCAAACGGAGCCTTAGGGCATTTTATTTCTGGACAAGGAGTGGAAACAGATCCAAGGAGTGGCCACTCCCCAAGAATCTTAAGGCATTAAGAAGTTTCTTAGGTTCAAAAGGTTTATCAAGGGATATGCATCCATTAGTATGCCTCTCACTAACCTACTCAAGAAGGGGACTTTCCAGTGGTCATTTAATGCTACTACTGCCTTTAATCAACTCAAACAAGCCCTGTAACTAATAGTGGCCCAATGCCCAGTCTCCACCACAAATGTTTGGGAGAAGTTACAGCTTTAGAGGTGGCTCAATTCATACCTGAAGCATGTCTATAAACTACATGGCATGCTTCAGTTTATTGTCAGTGATAGAGATGATGTGTTCTTAAGTACATTTTGGCAAGGATTATTCTTAGTACATTGGGTTGATCTGCTCCTATCCTCTTCCTATCACCCACAAACTGATGGCCAGACAGAGATGGTGAATAGATGCCTTGAAAGTTATCTGAGATGCATGACTTGTGAAAAACCTAATGAGTGGTCAAAGTGGTTGCCATTAGCTGAATGGTGGTACAATACTACCTACCACTCTGCTACACAGATGACTCCTTATGACGTAGTGTATAACCAGCCTCCTATCCTCCCCCATATCTCCCAGTGGAATCTAAAGTCGAATTGGTTGATAGATCACAATGAAAGAGGGAGGCTATGATCAAGAAACTATAAGCCAACCTCCAGCAAGCTCAAAATATAATGAAGCAACTTGCTGGTGGCCATAGAAGTGATAGAACTGAAAGGACTTTTTAGGTGGGAGATTGGGTGTGGCTAACATTCCAACCATACATACAAGCTTCAACAATGAATAGGAGTAATGACATGAACTCCAATTACCTCCAAAAGCTAAGATTCATAATGTCTTTCATGTGTCATTGTTAAACTTTTAAGGAACCTCTCCCTAACCAACCTCATATTCCTCCTTGGTTGCAAGGGATGGACACAAACAATATGCCTACACCAATACAGGTTTTGGCTAGGAGGATAGCCAAGAAGCAGCAGGCAGCTAAGACTCAGTTCTTGGTATAGTGGGCTGGCCAAATCCCTCAAGATGCCACTTGAGAATGGGCTGAAGAGTTGCAACACATGAGGACTGAAGAGTTCCCAGATTTCCAACCTTGAGGACAATGTTGTTTACTAGGGGGATGGTAAGACACATGTTTAAAATTTCTTAGCTAATGGGCCACGTGGTAATGAGCTGGATGTGAGCTGGCTTTTGTGTAACGGTTTCGGTTAAGAGGTTTTTACTATATATAACACATCTCCCTGTACAAAAGTCTTATGAGAAATGAATAATCGATCTTCTTTTTCCTAAATTCAGTTTCCTCTCTATTCCTCTCTCCCTCTCTGCGTGTGATTTTGTCTCTGTGTTCTGTTTCTTCGAAGCTTCTTTTCTTTTCTCACATATAGCTTCCTAGAAGCGGTACCAGAATCACCTAAAAGAAGTCCTGATCTGCATGAGCCTCAATTTCCCATTGGGTACCTGTTCATGGGTGGTGAAACAGTCATGCAATGCTCTTTCAAGGATTTCCTGTCTCCCGTGCCTTCTTTTTTCCATCGTCTCATCCAACCAAAGTTGGGCATCATCCAGTGAGGGGAAAAAACCAAACAATACAAACTTAGTTTTCATCCAAGATTTTTTAGTAGTGTGAAAAATGTTTCAAAGTGCTTCAGCCAACTGATCAGATCAGAAGTTCCAGCAAAAGTTGGGGATTCTATCTTCACATATTAAAGTCGCATAACTCCCTGACAGCTGCTGAAGAAAAATTTCATCTTGCAGTTATTGCCGTCATAGTAACTGGAGATCTCAAAATCCAACCCCCTGGCATCTTCCCTATCGTTGTGCTATTCTTGGTCATGCAGAAGCCTCTCTCAGTATTGGCGGTGACCTTCTCCAACAGCAACTTGAAGTTCTCCAAGCATGCAATTCTGTCGACAAAAGCAGCAAGCTTGGTGGTGGTAGACTGCCATGAATTTCTGCAGATTGGTGGCCAATTTGTTGGGGTCAAAAAGTGGCGTTGAATATCCTTGCTCTCATACTAAATTGATAGGGATGCAAAGATATTGCATCCCTGAGATTGATTATGAACCGCTCTCTTGCCCATGGACAAGCTTATCTATGGCGGAAATGGTGTGCACCATATATGCATCATTGGCATTTGCCCCCTGGTAAGTGTATATTTCACCTATTTTATGAGCTTAGTTGCATAACATTTTGTTCCCCAAAAGAGTACTTTAAGTGTTACAAATGCTATTTTGTGATTTAGGTGTTGAATACAAAGCATTATGGAAAGGAAGAAAATGGAAGAGTTTGAAGAAGATTCAAGCACAAATTCAAGAAATACAAGAGCGAGAAGAAAAGGAATTAGAAGAAGAATTCATGGAAAGATAATATACACTCTCTTGGTGTTTTTAAGGATAAAAAGACCTATGAAGTCATCAAAATACTCTCCCCAAAATGATAGAAGAGCCATGCAAATTTGGAGCACAAGATTGTAACAAAGCACATTTTGAACAGTCCTTAGTATTTTGACCATGTCTCGGGCTAGGAAAGTCACATTTTGCTCCATTATACCTTTCTGGAAAGCTCTTTTCAAGGCCTACAACTAGGAGGCAATTACAGCAGCTGTAAACAAATCCGGCGCAAGGAAAAGTTGACCTGCGCCAGTTTACGGACCTGGAGACGCAAGAAAACTTTCTGTGATCTAATCCGGCGAAGGGCAAGTTTTCCCCCGGCGGTTTCGCTATTTTCTGCAATTTAAAGATCCATTTTCAACCGTTAGAAAAGAAACAGCAAAGAGACCGCTCTATCCTCCCGTTGCTCAATGTTCATCAGCCCCAATCCTATAAATTTGGGCTTAAATTCTGCTTCAAAACATCAATTACTTCATCAATTGATCAATCCTTTGCTTCTTTCACCCCCGATTTGTGTATTTCTCCATCTTTGTTCTTGTTCAAGCTTTGGAAGGAAGAGCTAGGGTTTGACACATCCAACTCCGAATTTTGGCTTGCCCCGTGTAATCTCTATGCTTATTTCTGCGTAATGCATTCCATGTTGTTCTTGCTTGTGTTCATCATGATTTGTGGCTAAACCCCTCACCCGAGGTTAGGGGCAATGCCGTTATAATTGCCGTTAGACTTTGATTCCCAGTTTAAGAATATTTCATGTTCTATTTGTTTGTTTCACTGCATTTAATCGGGCGAAGGTCAAATTTACTTATCTACATTTTGGGAGTTTTGTGATGGACCTAGCAGTGAAGCAAACTCCATGCTCTAGTAGAACAAATGTTTAGCCGAGTTCGGGTAGAAATATACCCAACTCCTAAGCGGTGCCTTTTTCTTGGAGTCTTGAGCGTCAATGGGGTTGGCTCTAGATGTATGCAAGACAAAACAGTACTTGCACGTCGATGCTAATTACCCTCTCGTTTCCTTAACCGGAGCATGAGGTACCATGTCGACTCAGCACTTGCAATATGTTGAATAAAGTTTCTTAGTCCTAATGGTAGTTATAATTGGCTAGTCACGAACTCCTCGGTACTCCTCTCTTCTTTGTTCATCTCTGCATCTTTTTCCACTTCTCACACACTCACATGAAAACACAATTTAATTGACAAGTCCCTGTGGATTCGACCTGGTCTTACCGGTTATTATTACTACATCAGGCTTTCGTACGCTTGCAAAATACACCCGATCACCCCCAATCTCCACAATTCTGGATGTGGCAACCGGTCTATCCGTGGCAACGCCATTTCGGTGGCATGGCCACTTGTGCTCCAATTGTTCATATTTTCTCAGTCACATCTCTCACGCTCTCCAGTATCTCTTCTCTGCAATTGTTCTTCCCTGAACTTCACCATTGTGTCTCTTCTTCCTCTTTGCTAGTCGCGGCTTGAGAAGGAACTTTGGGTGTCAAGCCACTCTGACCTGGGAACACTGCGACTCTGCTACAGGAGCCAACATGAGTCTATGACCTTCTGAGTCTGTGACTTCCGACCGCCTGGATGGCTAGACACCGGCATGGTAAGTTATAAGCACCCCATTACTATCTCAGTCTTTCTGCCATTCTGCTTTTTTTCTTCAAGAATGTCATAACTCTGGCCTGGGAATACAGCACAAAGCTGAAATCAAACTCAAATAATGCCTTGGTATGCAAATTTTGCAGCCATATAAGTAGACTTGGGATAACAAGAATTAAACAGCATTTCGTAGGGGAGCATCGTAACACAAGAAAATGTCTTACAATTTGAGAAGATTTGAAGGTAACTCTGCCAGAGGTTGTTACCAAGAGAAAATGCCTGGGGGAGGGTGTGTGTACGCAGACCTTACCCCTACTTAAATGTAGAGAGGTTCTTTCCAAGAGACTCCCAGCTCGAGCAACATAGAACGCACATAGCACGAGAAATAACAAAGAGCAAACTAAGGGTAAGAAAAGCACAAGGAGACAAAGGCACACAAAGAACTGTGTTAAAATTCCGGCGGGCCGAGAACAACGGGTGAAGTGTCAGGTAAAATTAACCACTTGCATATAAAGTCCGGATCCACTATTCTAACCCAAAAGCTTAAGCTAATAGGTAGGGTTTCACCCTTCTATATATGCTAGTGGTATTCATCTTTATTTTCCGATGTGGGAACTCCAACACTCCCCCTCAAGGGCTAACTAGTTCGACCTAGTTAGCACTTGAACAAACGGATCTAGCATCTCAATCTCTTATAGCTAGCCAAACAACGGGCGGTGGCATCTCAATCTCTTTTTAGCCAACTCAACCCAAACCACGGACGGGTAGCTCTTTTTTTGCTAAACCCACGTCCAAAAACAGGAAGAACTGAACCCAGACCTGTTGCGATACCATGTTAGAATTTAGGATGGGGTAAAGACAACTAGATTGAGCAATAAGATACTTGAGTTGAACCACATTAAAAGATTGAATCCAATCGGTTAGTTAGTTCAACTCAAGAGCTTATATACCGATTATTTTACTCTTGGACGTCGGATGTGGGATGACACTCTAACACTCCCCCTCAAGTGGACAACCGGGCCATTTTGAATCTAACCGGTTGACCACTTGCAAATGGACTCTCTTCCCCTTGATTTTTCTTTAGCGCCAACACATAAAGAACCACGAGCCGCTAGGTATGGACTTCCAGACGAGCAATCGTGTTAAACATGCCACAGGAGGTTGGGTACATACTCCATACGGACAACTGGGCTAAAGACTAACAGGCTGCCAAGAATGAACGTCTAGACGGACACCTTGACAAACGAGGTGGGCCAAAACCTGCTCTTATACCATGATGAAATTTATGATGGGTAAGGATAACAACGGGTGGAGTGTCGGGTAAACTTAACCACTTGCATATAAAGTCTGGATCCACTATCCTAACCCAAAAGCTTAAGCTAATAGGTAGGGTTTCACCCTTCTATGTATGCTAGTGGCATTCATCTTTATTTTCCGATGTGGAAACTCCAACAAGTTGCAAGCAACAAGACCCCAAGCTTGAAAAATACAAAAACGACAAGAGCAAGAACTACGACTCATATCTAAACGACTATCCAACTACCCTAGCCCTAGATATCCAACAAACACCCCCAGCTCTTTACTTGGTCTGCAATCTGGTACTAACCCGGCCTACTAAGTCGTGATAAATGGATTATGCAAGTTGGGGGTGTTATATGGAAGCTCTACACTCTGATTGCACATAGGAAGTGGTTTCTCTTCCACTTGGTAAGTCTACAGTTGGTATTTGATGCATATCTATTGTTGGTTTTTGGTGCATATATACTGTGAAGGGTGAACAAGGCTGATCCTGATGGCAAGGTTGACCGTCTTTAAACACATCGAGGTGAAACCTAAAATTATGGTCTTGAATATATACTGACACTTTTTCTCTAGTAGCTAAATGATATATATATCAAATATAAAGAGTTGAAAAAGTCTACATGGGGTAACTAAGGTAAACTAAGGCTGCGAAAAGACATATTTAGGGATATAAGGTATGCTGACTGATATGAATACTTCCTTTGCCCCAATAAAACATTATGAGTCTGTCCTAGTACGCTTATTAGGAATGGGGAACTATTGTTGTTTCACTTTATTAATCTAGACGAGAAAAAATAATATGAAACACTGAACCACAAAAATCCTTCCTTTGAAGGAAACAAGAACCCTCTTTTAGGACGGACAAAAAGAAAAACATGAACCTTTTTTGGGATGGAGGAAGTATGTTTTAACTATATGATTAGCTTAACATAAATGCAAACACAATAAGCATCACCAATAGAAATAACTTCATATCTTATCCAAAGACCAAGTAGATAATGTATACTCCCTCCATCCCAACATAAAGAATGAACTATGTGGTCCACAATAATTCTCTCTTCTCTGCATCAATATCAATTATCAACCAAACAATTCACTTTTTCTTAAACTCTGTGAAGAAGCAAGTGGGAACTTTAATTTGAGACGGGAGTACTAGACATTATACTTCTTTTTTAAGTCATTTTAAACTGAATTCAGAAAAAAATATGAACATAGGTCAAAGGGATAAAACCATCAGGATATGACAAATCAAAGGCTATAACATCTTACTGAATAAGAAGGCAGCCACGAAGGTTTCCGTAGGTGACAGATGTTTCCCATATCATCAATGTTATCTCTTGCATATCGAATCAAAAGAAATGTGTAAAAAGCAAGAAAACTGTTTTCAACTCAGGTCAAATTCAAGAATGAAAAATCTCTCATACCGTAACCAAGCTGGAGGGGGGCAATGCACATGTGTTACATTCATGCAGTTCATATCAAGAACACCAGACCTATACACAAGAAATTGCAAGAGAGAACTTGAAAATAGTTGTTTCCTAACTCCCAGACGCCAACCTATTAGCCCACGGCTTCAACCTTTTCAGATTAATAACAATTGGGGGGGGGGGTAGGGATGGCGATGAGATTAAAGAATGTAATGAAAGTCCTAGTGGTCTTCTCATACAATTTGCATACATGATACAATGACTCTTACCAATAAGGTGATAAGTAGATATACTGCATGTATTCACTAAGAATTCATAAATGAGATTCAAATAACATGGTTGTTAAGTCCATAACTGAATTTGCATGTTTGTTTCCAGACATACCAAGCATCATCAAGATGAAATGCCATTTGATAGTGGCATGATGGATTAATGTCAATGGAGTGTATTTCCTTCAAGCCAATATTAGATTGAGCCTGTATTTTGGTGTAAGACGAAAGGCATTATTAGGAACAGCTATATATATATAAAAGCAAAAGACTTTTTTCCCTTTTGAAATAATAGAGTTGCATATATGCACCCAGAAGGTGCTTCGAAAATTCACTTAACGAAATATACAACAACAACAACAACAACCCAATTGGATCCCAGGAAAACTTTACAACATATGTATACTCTTATTTCAAGAAACCCAAAGCATTCTTATTAATGGCCTCATGACTGTCGGCTAAGAGCTAGAGAGAGGAGGCACTAGGCTCGTATTCATTCTAGAGACAATCTAAAGTGCTAATCAGTTGTGATCCTTAGCCCGGAACTAAAGGATAAGCATCTGCAAGTGACACTGTAATAAGCATCTAAGAATAACCCACAGCAGATGGTGGGAAGACACCTGAAAATCATGTTTTACATAAATTACATGATATATGAATGGTATATGATCAGATGCAACATATACCATTCTTTCTCTTCTAAAACTTTTCTCTTGTCCTAACCACACATTAATCATGTGTACCCATTATCCAAATGGTACATGTTTGACTAGAAGAATTCACACTGTTAGGTTACAGACTTACAGCTGTTTGTAAAGTTATTAGAGTTAAGAAAAGAATTAAACCTTAGACATTTAGTCCTTGTGCAGTAGACTGTGCCATCCAGATAATGTGAGGGGTTGTGCTAGATTTTTAATTCAATTTATCTATATGTGTTTCTTTGCTTACTTTCTTGGCGGCCTACTCTGGTTTTATTCCTTTGACCCAAGGTCTATCAAAGACAGCCTCTCCATCTCTCATGGGTGGAGGTAAGGTTGGTGTACACCTGAGTATCTAACCCTCCTCAGACCTCACTTGAGGGATTACATTGGGTTTGTTGTTGTTGTGACAATATTAAAGTTAGATCACAGTTGTTAATAAATATACCTATAAAGTTAAAATATTATGCATGTATATGTGTGAATGGTTGTAAAGAGAACAACAAAACACTTATCACTTGAAACTAAACCTTCTCAAAGAATAATTGTGCTATTAATCTAAATAATTATTTGTATTTTATGAAGCTAAAACAGTGATACATTTACAATGTTTTAACTATGGATAAACAATGGACCAAATTAAAATGGCACATTAAACTTAACTGGCTTATTACTTTCTATCAAGTTTTGGGCAGTAAATGCATGGGTGCATTAAGGGTCTAACGGAACAGACTCAGTTTTTACAAGGGTAAGATTGTGTAAACTTGACCACCCAGACCGCAAATCAGTTGGCATATTACTGTGTTGCTTTTGCACGATTGAACATTCTGATGTACATACCTTCAAAGATCTAATTTTCCCAAACTCCGTTTCCAACTTCACAGACGATAGAGGAGAACAATATTCCTGAACAAGCCAACATTACAATTGAGACATTGAGTACATTTCCACATCACCACATGTGGTATCTGTCTTTCACTTATTCCTCCTTACAGTGATCAATTTGGAATCACATGTCATTGTTCAGACAACAAAGTTGCAGGATAGTTAGCTATATAACTTGTAACAAACTGATAGTTGTGCACTAAATGTGAAGAAAAAAAGTTAAAGACCTGCGGTGGACCACTTGTCTAATACTTGTGGGACCAAAAGAGGAATTTTGGTATGTAAAACACCAAAGAACTATCTGCAAAAATATTGGAATCATTCTTTTTAATTATACTACCTCCGTCGTGAAATAATCTTCTCACTTTCTTTTTTGGTTAGTCCAAAAATAAACTTCTTCCTTTGATAGAAAATATTGAATGGTTGACATTATTCTCTCTCCACTACATAAATCTCAACCACATAATTTACTTTTTTTCTTAAACTTTGTTAAAGAGAAAATAGCTGGTGTAAAAGTGCAATTTGGGATAAAGAGGGTACTTTTTTTTTGCAAAAAGAGGGTACTTCATTAATGGTAATGTGACTCAATATTTAGATACCATACATGACCGATATTATATGTGTGTCGCTAAATGCTACACATATCTCATGTATGTTGGTAAGTTTTACGTGGATGAAGAATGCACTTCCTCCACTTGATCCTTGTCAAAATTTAGGATGGGGTTAGGATAACTGGAGTGGGCGATAAGACACTTGGGCTAAACCACATTAAAAGATTGAAACCAATCGATTAGTAAGTTCAACTCAAGAGCTTATATACTGATTATTTTACTCTTGGACTTCCGATCCACTCTAACAATCCCGAAAGAAGTCTAACTATCCTAGTATGATATGATTGAATTTCCCAAGAAATGTGAAGTTTAACATTGATACCAGAATAAATTTTATTTCTGAGTAGGATGCATCCAACTCCCCATATACACTTGGATCAAAAATAAAACAATATTCCTCGTATTTTTGAATTATTAGGGAGTATATGTATAAAAGTATTAATACCATGTTATTCTGAAAAGCAGCTGATGATCTTCCACCGCGTATATCCCAAATGTATATAAACCCATGCTTGCTGCCTCCAAACACAACCTATAACATAGGCATTCCGCATTCATGTAATTTTTATTATACTTCATCAACTCGTACAGTGCTATGTATTAAGTAAATGTCTATCAAAGTCTGATTCTAAACTGGCCTGGTTATCAGAGCTAAGCTTTATGCTAGTAATAGCGTCATTGCAATTGGTTCTGAGCTCATAATATGGAAAATCACTCATTCTTCTATCCCATACATTCACCATACCAGAGAAATCAGAAGCAAACAACCTGGCAATAAACAGATATTGTTTAGATGAGAAAAAATTAGGGTGAAATAAAATGAGCTATGCTTATGTATAACAAAATTAAGGCACGTTGTACACTAGTTTTAAAATAGGATCTCTCTCCTACTTTCAAGATTCATCATGGGACCTAATGTGGTGAAGCTTGAGTTTATACATTATAGCTTCTGCCATACTCTTATGAAAGGTTACAAGTTAACACGCTTAGAACTTCCTTAAATAAATTGTAAATATAGCTCATATGAGTTAATACACGCCTTGATTCAACATCGGCATACACACTATGCAACTTCCTTAAATAAATTGTAAATATAGCTCATATGAGTTAATACACGCCTTGATTCAACATCGGCATACACACTATGCAATAAGAATTTCATTACTTAAAGGCATAGGTTCCACTTAAAATCTACCTACCAACTTGCTCATGATATAAGCTAATGAGGAGTTGAAATAAGATGCACTAGGATGCATATTCAAATCAATACAATACTGTAGAAGGTAATATAAGAATTCAAGAAAAAGATTATCATAGCCTCTCAGTGTTAAATATTTACATATTTAATATTGTCTATATTTAGCGGATTCCTTCTTTGTATGGGATTCCTTTTAATATTCTTTCCCTATATTCACTTTGTACGTGACAAGGTTGCTCTAGGTCAAGTACAAGTTCTTCATGTTCCATCATCTTCTCAATATGCAGACATTTTTACCAAAGGTCTCCCGTCCATGCTATTTCAAGATTTCCGAGAGAATCTTGGGGTTCGCTCTCTTGAGTTGCCGACGTCGGAAGCATGTTAAATATAATTAATATTATATCTAATATTAATTGTAATCGTCACTTCATATTCCATTAGATGTCCTTCTTCATTGTACCTCTCTAAGATAAATACTCTAGAGAGCCTTGTGATTATTCAATTGAGTTAATCTTCACTTTAGTATATATAAGGGGAGGTGGACCTTTTGTATCTTCAAGATTAATATTATACAATTCTTCATGGTATCAGAGCCAAACCTAGGCTAATACCAATTTGTTTCTCCCCATCTAGGCAATATCCCTCATCAGCGACTCTCTTTCGGCTACATCTCTCTCTGTGCCGTCCTCTTCCTTTCGGCTCCACCATGTCCTCCAAAAAATTTGTCTCCTCCACCACCCCTGCTCCTAATCCTCCTCACCTTGCTTTCATGACGGTTTCGAAAATCAAACTTCAGGTTCCTATTCTATTGAGCTTCTCGGAACCAAACTACAAAAGGTGGAGCCGACTCTTTTTTCTCCTGGTTCGGCGATTCAATCTTGAGGGCTACCGCACCAGTGCGACGGCATCCTCCGGCAAGGATGACGTTGATTGGCTTCAACTTGACGCCCTTATTCAGCATGGATTCTTTCTACCATCACCGATGATGTCTCTAATCTCATCATCTCCTCCGCCACATCTGCTGTTGATCTGTGGAAAGCAATCCACAACCTCTTTCATGACAACAAAGTCGCTCGTGCCATGCAATTGGAGCACAAATTCTACACTAATGTCAAAGGCTAGTCGAGGATTACCAAATATTGTCAGACTCTCAGGAATATTGCTGATTGGCTTGATGATGTCGACGTTTCAGTCATCGAAAATCAACTCATTCTTCAGGCTATTCGTAACTTCCAAATGACCACAGCGCCTAGGCCTCCTTCCTACAGTTTCAGAAACCGCAACCCACTTTCTTTGAAACACGCTTGGCTCTTCTTCTCTTCAAACAGCAGTGCCGCCCCCTCATCAATAGCGGAGACTGCTCAACCGCCCTTACTGCGACCGGGCAAGGGAGCCGAAGCAGCTCCTTCGGCAGTGGCCGATGTCAAAACAGTAACGGTGGACGGGGCAGGAAGCCCTATCTCGGACATGGACGTGGTCGAAACGCTGGGCCAAACACGAGGTCCACTTATGGCAGCTATGTACCTTGGCAGATTCCCAACCAAAACCCGGGCCCAGATCTCCTAGCACCTCGTCCAAACCCAAACCCGTACCCCGCCCAAGCCTACTATGCACAACCCACTTATTCAAATAACCCCTACCCTACCCCCACCCCATATATGAACCCAACCCAATACCCCTACCCGGCAGTCACTCCACCCCTTGGGAATATACAACATTCTTTGTGTCATGCTTGTCAATTAGGGAAACATGTTCATCTCCCTTTTACTCCTGTTTGTGTTTCTACTTTTCCTTTTCAATTAATGCACACCGATTTATGCCAATCTCCAGTTCCCAGCATTTATGGATTTATATTTTATATGCTTCCCTTAGATGATTTTTCTCGCTGCTTATGGGTTTTTCCCAACACCTCTGCAATTGTCAATCATAAACTATCACCATGCTCGACTCAGTGCATTTTTCTTGGCTACCCGTCCAATCAACATAGCTTTTCGTGTCTAGATCTTTCCACTCATAAAATAATCATTTCGCGCCATGTTATTTTTTATGAGTCCACTTTTCCTTTCACTCACCTAGTTACACCAAATGTTTCTCTTTCTTGACTCCATGGAGGACGCCAACCCCTATCACCTTCACCACTCCACCTACAGCCCACCACCAAAAAATCCCCCTGTAGCTCAACAGATCCAGCCAGCCCGAATCCCCACTTCCCCAACCCTTTGAATCCCCACTCCTCCTGCCCCTTGGCCCAACCCACAACCCAGCCCAGCTCCCTCGACCCACAAGATCCGCAGGCCCTTGCAACCCAAAACACTAATCCCATTATTATTCGGGCCAAATCTGGTATCTCCCGTCCACGGCATGTCCAAAACCTCAACATCACCAGCCCATATCTCTCCCCTCCCCTCAACATACCGTAGTGCACAAAAAGACCCAAATTGTGTGATGAATTTAATGCTTTGATAAAGAACAATACCCTACCCCCAACCAAAATGTTATCTCTAGCAAATGGCTTTTTCGTCATAAATTTGGCCCAACAGGTGATCTATCCATGTACAAAGCTCACTGTGTGGTCCTCTTTGTTTTTTCTTTCCTTTTCTTTCAGTCCAGTCCTCTCCTTATACTTTACCTTCTTTAATTAAGTGTATCTCATATATATATATATATATACACACACACACATACATACATACACACACACATATATATATGAGTAAATTCTATAATTAGTTCTTTATAACAAGGGGTTTTTCCTATTTAGTCATCTTTTATCAAATATTACCGAGTGGCACTTCTTTAACGGGTATCTTTCCACAAATAGTCTTTTTTTGATATTCTATCATGTTGGTGTTAATTTGAGGACTAAAAGTATAATTTCACAATGATCATATATCTTTCTTATCATACACAACTTCAGAGGGCACTCCTCATGTGTTGTTTGTAAATTAAAGTCGCTTTCCACTACAACCATGATAGTTAACAGATGTGGTCTTTCGTCAGAATCCTAGTCAACAATCATAGTCATTATATTTGTGTTGTTCGTCTAACCGATATCAGAATATATCACTAAACTTAAGATTGATGTCAAATTATACTTTTAGCCCTCAAATTAACACCAACATAACAGAAGGTCAAAAAAGGACTATTCGTGGAAAGGTACCCATAAAAGGACCACAATTATGGAATTTACTACACACACACACACACACATATATATATACTCCCTCCGTCCAAGTTTAATGTTCCCACTTTGTCCGGACACGGAGTTTAATAAAAGTTGAAATTTAGATTGACTTTCCCAAAATACCCTCCACCTTACCCCCACTTCCCTACCCATACCTATCCTGTCCAAACTACTGCACCCAGGCCCCAACCCAACAAAACTGGCCAGAACAAATTTCCCGCGATCCAAATCGATCGAATTTCCGGCCAGAGAAAAGTTTGCCCAACCTCAACATTTGAGAATTCTCATAGGCATCTTTTCAGGCCCAAATCGAGTTGTCCCTCATCGTGTTGGAAGAATAAGAAGATCTGAATATGAAGAAGATTTGAAGAAGAAGAAGATCCTTCCTCGTTGCTGATCTCCTTGCAGATCTGAATCGGATTCCCAAGATCTGATAGAGATATGAGCGATGAAATCGGAATGAGGAACGGAAAGAAGAAGAAATGAAGATGGAGGGCGGTTGGACCAAATTGGAAGGGTGGAGGTGGGAAGAAAAGAAAGAAGAACAAGAGAAGAAGAAGAAGAAGAAGAAGAAGAAGAAGGAAAAAAGGTCGGTGGAATCGGAAGGGGGGGAAAGAAAAGAGAGAGGAAGAAGAAGGAAAGAAGAAAAAGAAAAGAAGAAGGAGAGAAGAAAAGTCGGAAATAAGAGAAGAAAAAAAGAAAAGAAGAAGGAGAGAAGAAAAGTCGGAAATAAGAGAAGAAAAAAAGAAAAGAAGAAGGAGAGAAGAAAAAGGAGATGAAAACGGAAGTATCTGGAGAGAAGAAGAAGAAAGGACAGAAGAAAAGGAGAAGAAAGAGAGGGGGGCTGCGGCGGGAGGAATGAGAAAAAGAAAAAAGAAATAGGAAGTAAGGGACTAAGGGTACTCAAGTCATTTCAACAAAGAAAACTTACCAAAAAAGGAAATGGGAACATTATTTGTGGACGGACCGAAAAGGAAAGTGGGAACTTTAAATTTGGACGGAGGGAGTATATATATATATATATATATATATATATATATGTATGTATGTATGTATGTATGTATGTATGTATATATTACATCCCATATTTGTCTTTTGACCGCCTGCCTCTCGCATCTCATAACAATAGGACAATATCTACATTCTACAAGACGGAAGGAGTAATGAATATGTGTCCAACCTTGAAGTGTCACTTGAAGAAAAGGCAATATCTGATAAACCTTTTTGGGCTGTATATCCAGTAATGCTGATTGTAGGCTTCTTTCGTAGCACCTGCACAAACCGTAAAAACTTAGTAACAACATTTAAAAAAGATTGGGTTTTGAGCTAATGATGTTTCAAGTAAATTTATAGCAAAACAGTCTCCACCTCGTGAAATGTGTAGAATATGAAGTTCTAAGATATTGAACAATATATAAATTCATGCTCACTAACTAAACTCACGGACTGGGTGAGGGATGAATGGGCAGTTTGGATAATGGGTCTCCACATTTATAATTTACTTATAGCAAAAGCAATGTTTTTTATGGCACTACGAAGTTCCAAACATTATATACAAAGACCAAAGCACAAAAATATCCTACTACCTAAAAATGAAAGTATTTTCCAGTGAATGCTATATGTTCATAGCAGATGGAGAAAAAATATATTCCTCGTAATTGGAAGAAGGATGAGTTTATTACTTCTGAAAGGTGTAGTTTGACGCTTTTAAAAAATACGAATTTGACCAATGGTTACTTAAGATGATGGTATGAAATGAAAAGAAAATCTGTAACTTACATCAACGGGTTCAGAAGATACATAACCAATGTCATATATATATACTTCAGAACTCTTTAGAGATGTACATGCAACCTGAATTTAAAGAATAGTAGTATGAGACTTATCAACAATTTAGCAGCAATTATTCGACAATTTAAATTTGTAGATAAAGCGCTAATAACTTAAAGTAACACTATCTACATATCATTTGCGAAATCAAAATGGCACATTATCTAACAGACAGACCTTCAATTTTTACTCAGTTAAGGTTGTGTATATCATTGAGCCCCCCTAGACCCAGCAAAGTTCGAGTTCTATTGGATTTTATTGCTGATGTACGAAGGGGGCCTTGGCTCAGGGGTAATGGTGTTGTCGTGTGACCTCAAAACCACCGGTTGGAGTTACGTAGCCTCTTGCAAAATTGAGAGATAAGATTACTTTGTTGTTTGGGGGGGGGGACCTCGCACCTTGCTAGGCGGAGATGCTTTGTGCATTGGTTGAACCATTTTATATAGGAATGTTTCATCAAACATATGGTGACCTATTTACTGGAATATTAATCAAGATAAAATGATTGCAAACTTTATAAAAATATATAGTAGGAAATCATTAGCTTTAAAAACATGAAGTGCAGATTCAAGGACACCAAACCTCATTTTGATTACAGGTATTCCATCTAACAGCATCAAGTTGATTATATGTAGCTACATGCAACAATAGTTTTCCTTCATCTTCTTTAAAACCTAAAGGCAATACTTTTCCTGGTCGAGTAGATAAGTGAATCAAAAATTAATAAGCATGTTGAACATAACAAAGTCACGTTGGTGTGATGTTCAAAGTTGATACTAAGGTATTATTTAATAAGTGAGAACACCAGCCCAAAATGGTGAGTGTTTGCATGAAGTAAAAGAGTTCATGGTGTATGTATCAACTAAGTGTCTATTCATCAGCACATAATGGGTCAGTGGCATGCAATTTAAAAAACAAAAAATAATGTATGGTTGACATTGAAACAAAAGGGGGCAATAAAAATAAGAAATTTATATAGAATATATATGAAATATAAAATTTTATGATTTATTTCAAATCATTTCAATATTTCCAACTCTCAACCTTTTCTAATTTCTTCCAACTTCGGGTTTATTCCAACTCCTTTCATTTTCCTCTAACTCCTTCCAGAATTTTATATCTACTTCCAATTCTTTCCAACTTCTTCTAGTTTCATGTAACTCTTTCCTATTTCTTCCAACTCCTAGTTTTTTCTAACTTCTTGGTTTTTAACTCCTTCCAAACGTTTTTGTTTCTCCTAACATCCAACTTTATTTTAGGGATATTATTTGTTATAATCTTTAGAAGTATATAATAAGGTATTCGTTTCTTATTTTGTTATTAGTGATTAGTCCTGTAACTATTATCATTAGTAACTAGTACTCCCTCCGACCTAAATCATTCTTCACCTTTCGGTGTACGAGGTTTAAAGGTGTAAAGTTAAAAAAATAAAAATTATATATTTAAAAACTCATCTAAACCTCTACAAAACAAGATGTGACATGACTATATTGTTTTATCAAATGACTAAACAAAAGTAGGTAAAGAATGTGATTAAAATTTGACCATGTGAATAATAACTAAGAAGAAAGTTTTAGGACGGAGGGAGTAGTAGTTTCCTCTTAGAATGTGTATTATAACAACAACAACAACCCAGGTGAATCCCACAACAGTAGGGTCTGGGGAGGGTGTGTGTACGCAGACCTTGCCCCTACTCGGAAGTATGGAGGCTGTTTCCAAGAGACCCCCGGCTCCACCTGCACAAAAATATGGAAGGGAACATAGTATAACACAGATAAAGTACCAAGTACAAGCAACAAGTACAAGCAATATTGTAATACATAAGAGCTTTATTTACTTGCCCACCAAGACCATTGTGAACATTACAAAGACTTTGACAAGGTCAGGTATTTCAAGGTCAGTGTCACAAACGAAACTCTTCTTAGGTAGGCTTTACCCAAAAAGCCTACCTTATCCTTACCACGCATATAATACATTGTCACTGTGAAAGAGATACATATGTTGCCAAATTTATATTTTTCTACTTCATGGAGACAAAAAAAACTACACCGCAAAGGGTCACACAAAAAGAACCGAGACATTGATGTGAAGTATTAACTAACTCAAAAAAAAGTAGGCTATTGACATGCTTGAGAAATGACTGGTGGGAGTACTTTTTGGGTTGAAACAACTCCCTCTAACTTGAAACATTGGATAGACTTGGAACCATTATTGGGAGTTTTGAAAGAATAAGGTGGCCCAAACTCTTAATGTTGAACTAACAATACCTTTCATATGGTATGATCTTTGATAGTACCCGAGTCATGAGAAAAGGTAATAGATCTACACAGGTTTGCATTTAACTATTAACAAGGATAATGATGAAAGAGACGTGGATAAATTAAGAATAAAACACACTCGGATGGTAACAAAATCGATGGGAGAGCTTGACCAGCTCACACATTGTTTTTAGTCTTTTAGGTACAGGATAGGGGTATGGGAAACTTGAATCCAAAATCCATAACCCATGAATAATAGTTGTGGGGACAAACAGCACGGATGAGGTATTGGTATGAACTATAATAGAAGTATATGGTGCAATGGATGTCATATTGAAGATCACAATAGAATAAGAGTTCAGCCTGAAGCACTAGTCCATGACTCGATGCCACTCGTTAATAACAGCCAATCAACTTGATCAGGACAGATTTAATACTATATTGGACTCCTTGTTATGTACCATTGTTGCTCACCAGAAACCAGTCTCACCCTCATCCGACTTTTTAAATATGGTGGAAATATATTGAAATCTCAGGAAACTTATATCACATTTCATTACCTTCGTAGAATAGATCTTCAAAATCATGCACCGTTAAGCAACCTGATTTTGTTACCGATGCCAAATAAACCCCCTGCAGAGCATGGTAATCAAGCCTTTGAAGAAAGGAATCTACACTTATACGAAAGAAAATTCTCATCACATGGTAGTTGTAGTAGTTGTTGTAGGAGTGGTGGTGGTCATTGTGGTAGTAATAGTAGTAGGTGTTGCACCGATTTTCATTATTATTGTCAAGGAACCAACTCAACCAAAAGCTCAAGCTTGTGGTTGTGGCCCAGGAATGATTGTTATATACTCTAACACGCCCCCTCACGTGCAGGCGTGACCTCTTTGAGCCTTGCACGTGAAACCTTAATTTTTTTTAATCTAGGTGGCGGTGAGTTTCGAACTCGTGACCTCTTGGTCATCAAGGCTCTGATACCATGTCAAAGAACCAACTCAACCAAAAGCTCAAGCTTGTGGTTGTGGCTCAGGAACAGTTATTTATATTCTGACACGCTCCCTCACGTGCAGGTGTAGTCTTTTTCAAGCCTTCCACGTGAAATCTTAATTTTTTTAAACTGGGTGGCGCTGAGTTTCGAACTCGTGACCTCTTAGTCAACGAGGCTCTGACACCATGTCAAGGAACCAACTCAACCAAAAGCTCAAGCTTATGGTTGTGGCCCAGGAATGATTGCTATATACTCTAACAATTATTATGTTCCCCTAATTTTTAATGTCCATTTGCCTCATTGGAATCTCAAACAAGCTAAATTAAGCACCCACCCCCCCCCCCACCCCCTGTATTGAGCTTGGCATTTGCCTCATACACAGCCAAAATCAGCCAAATCACAAAAATAAAAATCATACATGCATGTGTGTAGACTAATTCTTATGATAATTTTGACAAGATAAAGTGAAAACAAAGAAACAAAAACAAAATAAAAACATTAAAAAGATTATTAGAAAATGTTGATAAATCACAATCTAGATGCATATAATTTGATGATTACCTTTCGATCAAATTCTAGTGCAGATACGCCCTCACTGTCAAGATACAAAAAAAACTACTTAAATAGTATTTGAAAATATGCAGCATATATGTGGGGCAAAAAAGTTGCATCTTATTTAAGCAACTAAAAAAGATCTAAATCAATTTTTTTGCTAATAAACCATTAAAATGTGAAGAAAAAGTAGGACAGACACAAGAGGAGAACATGTGTATATTATTAGAAACAAACGTATTAAGCATAGTAAATTACAATTGAAAATCTCTGTAGCAGGAACAAAGTAACTAAATCAAAGACCAAATGGATTAAAGATGCAAGACCAAGTAGCACAACGAAGAGCAATGGTAAATTTTGAAGGAGACACTAATGGAAAGAGAAATAATCAATAATACCGTGAAGTAGCCTACAACAAAATGAGACCTGGTGCAGCTACTTGGAGCTGATATTCTAAAATGCTTATTTGATGCCTTCTCTCCTGGGTGAAGGCCTTTATGAAGAAGTGAATGTATTTGTTTCTAGTCTATCGTGTTGTTTAAATAAAGTAGGAACCATTGAATATGTAACTGGGAATCCCTTTTTTTAATCCATTTTGTGATTGTGCACATTAGGAGCTTGATATTTGAAACTATGTTTTCCCACTCCATTACTTCAACTATGCTTCAACAGGATGCTGCATATTGGGTGTCTAGCTGGTTTCCCCTTTCATTTTGATTTCTTTTCTTTTTGCTAGAATAGAATATCAAGTGGTCCGAGGCCATATCAGGCAACACGGGGAAGCATGAAGGCAGGAATGTAGACCAAAGAAAAGAAATGTTTTTTGATCATTGTAAACCATTGTACCAAAGGGCAAACATTAAGTACAGAGTGTATAAAAAGTAATACTTGTAAGTCTCAAAGGAAAAGGGGGAACTTCACGGATAAAGTGTTGTTTTTATTTTCCTAAAAAGTTAGAGGTTAGCCATTGAATAGAACTCAAAGTATGAACGAAAAAGTGCAACTGGCAAGATATTACCAAAGGAAAAATTGCAATTCCTGCCAAATATTTCTTTGCGGAGCACATAATCTCGTATTACATGTTCAACTGTTCATTACTCGTAAAACTTTTAAATAACAAAAATTCAACCCACTGAGGAACACACATAATATATGCACATATGTTGGTATCAGTGTGGGTGTGCAAAGATATACAACAGAAAATGAAAAGGTGAAAAAAGGACAAAAAGATACCTGCCTATTGGATTTTGGTCATCCGTTCCACGGAGAAACAAGTTCATCTGGTGTAATAAATCAAAAAAAAAGGAAAAGCAAGGACATTGTATGAAAGAAAGTTAATATTAGTAATGTTTCACAGACATCACTCCGGCTACTACTGTCCTGCCTAGGGTGCTAGATAACATTTCCAGTTCAAATTCAAGATGATCAGATCCCTTTAGATCCTACTCCAAAATTCCTGTTCGGGTAGACCAATTAAACCAATAAATAAAAAATGCAGGAAAAACAAGTAGACTTCAATTACATGTGTGGGACATGGCACTTCCCCGTTGTGATATGCGTGAGGGAATCCCACCAGCTGAAACAAATATAAATATGTAAATAATTACTCGTAGTAAATAGCCTGTAATTACAGTTAGTGTATAATATACTCCCTCCGTCCCTAATTTGATTACAAATTGGGAGTTACGAGGCAAAATTTCTTGTCTTTTGAAATCATTTTATTGTACATCAATAAGAAACAAAATTACATATTAAAAAACTACATCAAAAATTCTACAAAATGAGAGGAGGAGAAGAATATTTTAATTTATCAAACTCAATGGAGAGAAGAAATGATTGTAATCTAATTCGGGACGGAGGGAGTATTAATAGATCAATTAATTTCAGCGACTGACCACAGAATAGGATCTCGCTAATAGAGCACAAGCGCCGTGGATGTATTTCCTATTGATTTTTCCGTTCAATTCAACAATAACTCTCTGCCATGGCTGCCTAAGTTGCATATTTTAAAAAGAAAGAATTTTGATACAAGAGATGATAATCTAAGATAACCAAGTTGTTTTCCTTGCATGCGACAGTACCTTCGAGATGCTTTGGGGTTTTGCGAAGCATGAGCTGCTCGGACCAAATATTTCTCCATTGGGGAAGATGAGTCGAAAACAGGACCGCAGAAGAATGTATCGCTCGTTATTGTAGGGTTTTCCCGCCAATGGCACCCTGGGATTTTTATTTTAAAAGCAATATGAAATGTTAAAAAAATAACAACATTTACCCCCAAATAAATATTCAAAAATTTCAAAATATAACAATAAAATAAAAATTTTGTGGAATATTATTTAATATTCCCTCCCTCCATTTTTTATATTGCATGTTAGTTTTTATGATGTTGACTAAAGTTATATTTTAAATAAATTTATATAAAAATTGGGGTACAATTAAATAATAAAATTTATATATTTAAAAATTAAATGGAAAGTTTTACAAAACAAGAGATTACATAAGTATATTATATGGGTGGACAAGTACAGAACCGATCCCAAAACTTCCCAAAACATGAAAATACTAAATCGATAAAATACGAAAAAAGAACTATATCGTACCAAACCGAATGGTCGGTCAAGTATTTGGGATCGATACGAGATAACTTTTCATATCGAAAAATTCCAAACCAAACATATACTTCCTCCGTCCCACTATATTTTTCCACTTTTATTTTTGCACACCATCCAATACACTTCTTTAATCCATTTTATCTTGTAATTTGTATATTAAAAAATTATAGAAATTATATATTAATAATCTATATGTTAAGACAAATCAAACAAGATCACGCATGACTATATTTAGGCTTACACATTGAAAGAATTTGATGAGTCAAAGTGCTTAGATGAACAGATCCAAAAGTCAAAAGTGGACGAATATAGCAAGACGGAGGGAGTATACAAATATGTTATACAAATAACAATGTTTTTATATCTCTTCATTAAAAAATAAATTGATTTTAAAATGTTGATTCAAGTGTAGATGAATAATATTTTTTATATAATCATTTGTTCGAATTTTAAATTTTTGTAGATGAATATGAAAACGTTAACAAACATTTGAAATTCTATTTTGTTATAATTTGTTCTCCATTTTTTGTGAAATATGAGGTATAAATTAAACTAAATTTTATATACATTTTTGCATTTAATTATTCATTTTCAATTGTTTATCTTTCTTTATTTGAATGTATTTTTTATTTGTATAAAATAAAGTCTTGTACATTTCAAAGTCTAAAATAGGTACGTATATATATTTGGGATCGGGATAGGTACGTATATAATTTTACCAAAACTGAAACCGAACCATCCCGAACCATCCTCAATCATACCGAACTGATATTTCGGGATCAGGATCAGGATCTGTACGATGTAAAATTCCATACCGAACCAAAATATTTGGTACGGTATTGGTATGAACCAAATACCATACCGTACCGTACCACGTTCACCCCTAATATATTATTTTATCAAATAACTAAAGAATGTGATTAAAGTTTGATCATATGAATAATAAAGAAGCAACTTAAATTGGACAGAAGAAGTAAACAAATATTTTGTTTTTCCAAACCTTTTAGGAAGTAAATAGAAAAAACAAATCTTTTTTTAACCAAAAGTGCACTTATATTAATCCATTAAACCAAATACAAGAGAATGTAACTAGTAACCAATTACATCTACTCCTAATACAATTATGGGCAATGCTAGGGGTACACCAACATGGGGTACCCCAAGTGTACACCAAGTCAACACAGACACACACAGACACCAAATGTCTGTGCAACACAGACACTTTGTGTCTGTGTGTGTCTGTGTTGGCTTGGTGTACACTTAGGGTACCCCATGTTGGTGTACTCCTAGCTTAATTCTATAATTATTTCAAATACGTGCTTTTGAGATTAGCGCTAATATACGTCTTCAAATGATATTGGATCCATTCACAACTACCATGATTTGCCTCCTCTTTCTTCCTTTAATGCTAATAAGCTCATTTTGTGATCCTGCATTTCTAGCCTTCCACTCGTAGTTGAGCCAATCAAATATGCTCTATTGAATGCTCTTAACAATTTTGCGAGAGATTCTGATTGCAAACCATAAGATGTCCTTTTATTGGCAATGTCTCAAATTAGATTCTGATTGCAAGCATAGTTCCAAAAAATCAAGTTTTTGAAAGCCAAACGACCTACCTTTCTAGACTTGCATACATGTTCCCATCTAATAGAAGGAACCCTAGTGTAATCTGATGAAGATTCCCATAAAATTTCTTGCATACTCCTTGTATTTTCTTCATCACCTTACCTGGAAGTATAAACAATTTGCACCAGAAAAGATAACTCCAAATAGTACATTGTTAATAAGTTTACATTTCCCTACATAATATAGGTACCTTGATGATCAGACACTTAGTTTTTAGGTTAGTTTATTAACCAAACCATCACAGTCCCTTTCATTTATTCTAGATGCTGATATAGGGCATCCGGGATACTTGAAAGGAATTTTCCCTCTTTCCATTTTAGCCAAACTCAAATGTCCCTGATATCATTTTCTTGTAAACTCTTTATCATCATCAGAGATTTGGAATAATTGACCTCCAATCCAGTGACTAGTTTGAGGTGTTATAGGCAATTAAGGATGATTCTTATAGATTCTTTTTCAACTTAGCACACCATTACTAGATCATCAGCAAATGCCAAATTAATAATATTAAGTTCCTTACACATGGGGTGAAACTTAAAATTATTAATGTTGGCAAAGTGTGATAAGGCCATGGTAAAGTACTCCATGGCAGAGGTGGTGCAATTGTGACGATTCTGATGTTGGTGGTTGGGGTTGGCAGATGCAGTGATGATGGGGCGGTTGGGGCAGGGACAGCTGCTAAAACTCTAGCAGGTGGAGTTAGGCAGTGGTGGGGATGCAAGGGTGTTTTGGACATTTTCATGCTAAAGTCAACACTCCTTAAAAATAAAGAAAAGTCAAACTGGGAATATCATTCCCGGATAAAGGAGTAGGATTTAGGCTCTGTTCCGTACGCCTAATGTGATTGAATCTGATCTGAATTTTTGAAGTTCTGATCTGATCTGATTGGGTCTGATCGATAGAATCTGATCTGATCTGATTGGGTCTGATCTGATTGGGTATGATCTGATCTGATTGGGTATGATCTGATCTGATTGGGTCGGATCTGATCTGATTGGGTCTGATTTGATCTGATTGGATCTGATTGGATCCGATTTTATCTAATTAGATCTGGTGTAAATGAATTTAAATTTGATTTAAATTAAAATTATTACAAAATTTAATAGTTTTAAAGTATTAAAATTCTTATATACATAAAAAAAGTAAAATAAGAAAATCAGCTAATCATTGATATGTTTAAACTTTTATTAAAAATATTAAACATCTTTTCAATATCACAACTTTTTAAATTTTTGTGAAAACTAAATAATCCATATTAAAATAACCAAATATTAGAAAATATTGATGGTATTCTACAAAAAACATTCTATATGCATATTACATAATAATATATTTCATGTTACAAATTAAAGATCATATAAAATTTTAAACACTAATATCCCTTTCACCGTTATCAATTTTGTCCTAAACTCACCCTTATGTATATTATATCATCTTAAAGTTTAAAAGTAAGTCTTTTTAAGTAATAAATATTTATGGTTTTGAAAACTAAGTTTTGTATAATTATTTTATAAACAAGTATTTTAAAATAACTCTTTTTAAAATATGAAAAATACAACTTTTTAAGCTTTAACATTGACTCCATGAATCATTTCTATCCTACAAGCTAAGAAATTATTAAAATTAATGGTTTGTAGTTGAAATGTAATAATAATAATAATAATAATAATAATAATAATTAAAACAACAACAACAACAACAACAATAATATAACAAAAATAATAATTTTGGTTTGTAGTTGAAATATAATAATAATAATAATAATAATAATAATAATACTCCGTAATAATAATAATAATTAAAACAACAACAACAACAACAATAATAATAATAATATAACAAAAATAATAATTAAAATTATAATATTAATTAAGATTTAGGTGTTTGTAGTTTTAAATAAAGTAATGTGATTTAATAAATATTATTTTTTATATTTTTTCTTGATTTGATATTATTGGTTTTGATCTGGTCTGATCTGATCTTATTGGATCTAGTGTGATCTGATTGAATCTGATCTGATCTGATTGGATTTGATCTGATCTGATTGGATCTGGGCTGATCTGATTGGATCTGATGTGATCTGATTGAGTCTGATCTGATCTGATTGAATCTGATCTGATCTAATTAAATCTGATCTGATTGGATCTGATCTGATTGGATCTGGTCTGATCTTATTGGATCTGATCTGATCTGATTGAATCTGATCTGATCTAATTAAATCTGATCTGATCTGATTAGGTCTGGTCTAATCTGATCTGATCTGATTTTAATAAAAATAAATAATAAGTAGAAAAAATAAGTCATACGGAACAGACCCTTAATGGGGAATCAAGGACCTGGGATCTGTCCTTTCTTGATCCCAATTGAAATTGGGCCATTGATTGTAATTTGTGGCTAGAATTACTCCGATTATCTTAATTGCGAAATTGGGCCGGTAAATCGGATTGCATTTTCCTATTGTACTTTTATGTATATAATAGATTTTTTATTTATTTACGTTTCATTTTTTATATTTATTTAATTATATATTTATGTGTTTTAATTCATTCATTTTGCTTATTTATTTATATTTATTTGCATATGTTTATATTAAATGGGAAATGACTAAAACCCTAAACCCTCCTCACCTCAGCTTCCCCCCTTAGCAATGACCATCGCCGCCGCACGCCCTCTCGTTTCCGTTCAGCCCCTTGAAAATGACATGGCCACCGATGGATCCGCCGGCATTTCAGTCCCTCTGGCGAATGTGATGAAGGCTCCGATCCGCCCCGACGTGGTCACCTTCGTCCACTCCAACGTTTCCAAAAATTCCCGCCAGCCCTACGCCGTGTCGTCGAAGGCGGGCCACCAGACCTCCGCCGGGTCATGGGGTACCGGCGACGCCGTGTCCCGTACCCCCCGCGTTCGCGGTGGCGGTACTCACCGTGCCGGACAGGGTGCGTTCGGGAACATGTGTCGTGGTGGGAGAATGTTCGCCCCCACCAAGATCTGGCGCCGCTGGCACCGTAGAATCCCTGTGAATCAGAAGAGGTTCGCCACGGCTTCTGCCATAGCTGCCTCCGCTGTTCCTTCCCTCGTTGCTGCTCGTGGACACCGGATCGAGACTGTGCCGGAGATCCCTCTTGTGATCTCCGATTCCGCCGAGGGAATTGAGAAGACATCCAACGCCATCAAGATTCTCAAGGAGATTGGTGCGTGTGCTGATGCGGAGAAGGCAAAAGATAGCCAGGCCATCCGCGCCGGAAGAGGCAAGTTGCTACATATCTCGCAAGGGGCCTTTGATTGTTTATGCTACTGAGGGTGCTAAGCTGGAGAGGGCCTTCCGGAACATTCCCGGGATAGATATCTGTCATGTTAGCCGTCTGAACATTCTTAGGCTTGCTCCTGGTGGCCATCTTGGACGCTTTATAATCTGGACGAAGTCTGCATTTGAAAAACTGGATGAGATTTATGGGTCTTTTGATAAGCCTTCTCTGGTGAAGAAGGGTTATGTCTTGCCAAGGCCAAAGATGGCCAATGCCGATCTTGCTAGGATCATCAATTCTGATGAGGTGCAGACCTGCCAAGAAGGGAGTGAAGAGAGCTGTTCGCAAGAACTTTTCATGCACCCCGAAAGTGATTAGGGGCTAGATTTTAAAAAAGATTTTGATAGATATTTTAAGAATTGGATCTATTTTAATATATTTTATCATATGATTTTATAGGATTCTAGCAAATTATTTATAATCTATGGATTATTTATTTATATATTTGAATTATATTAAAAATTCTAACCCACTTTTTTTTCCTTTTCTTTTTTTCCCTTTTTCTTCTCTGTTAGTTTGTATCTTTTTATTTTCCTTTTTTCTTTCTTCCTCCCCCGAGACCGTAGTCGTCGCTGCCTTTTTTTGTTCTTGTATCTTTCCCCTGTCGGCGCTGCCACCACGGTCACCACCCAAATTCGCAGCCACTGCTGTCGATCCCTCGCAGGTGCCACCAATTTCTTACTTTTGCGGCAAAGTTGAATACCAAAGTTAAAAAAAATTCATTCCTGACAGTGTAAGTCAGAAAATTTTTCCCTTGCAGTGCAATAGGGAGTAGCCAACTCCGTTTCTACTCTATTTTTAATAAAACGGAGTAGCTAACTCCGTTTCAATTTTGTTTATGGGCCATACGGAGTACCTTACTCCTTCTCAATTATTGACTATTTGTCCTCCCCCCACTATTTGAGTTTGCAACTACCGTATGAAAATGGGATTTTCAAACATTTACAAAGATTGAATAGTAACGGGTGTAAGTGAATTTTTGAGAATTATATTTTACTAAAATCATATTTCCCTATTGTCTCATTTCAATTTATGATACTACTTCCGTCCCATTGTCTTTCTCCAGTTTTGACTTTTGGAACTGTTTATCTAAGAACTTTGATTCATCAAATTTTCTCAATGTGTAAGCCTAAAAATAGTCATGTGTGATCTTGTTTGGTTCGTCTTAACATATAGATTATTAATATATAATTTTTATAATTTTTTAATATACAAATTATAAGATAAAATGGATTAAAGAAGTGCATTGGATGATGTGCCAAAAGGTAAGTGTACAAAGACAGTGGGACGGATGGAGTATTTTACTAAAATCGTTTTTCCCTATTTGTCTCATTTCAATTTATAATATTTTACTAAAATCATTTTTATATTAAATTTTTATTTAAATTTTGGTTTAATGAATTAAAATAAAAATTACTACCTTCGTCCCACTTTTTTTGTCCAGTTTCGACTTTTGGAACTGTTCATCTAATTACTTTGACTCATCAAATTCTCTCAATGTGTAAGCCTAAATATAGTCATGTGTGATCTTGTTTGATTCGTCTTAACATATAGATTATTAATATATAATTTCTATAATTTTTTAGTATACAAATTACAAGATAAAATTGTTTAAAGAAGTATATTGGATGGTGTGCAAAAAAGAAAGTGGATAAAAAGAGTGCGACGGAGGAAGTATATCTTTAACAAATAATTAAAATTTCTACAAAACAAAAAGTTACATGAATCAGTCATCTTCATCTCATTTCGCTCAACATATTGATAGCGATCTAGATGATGCTGACTACGTTGCACCCTCAACGGAAGATGAAGAATCTTTGGAAGTGGAAGAGGACATATCTTCAGATGATGCAGACGATGGCCACAACGTTCGTGCAATGCCACATTTACAAGACATCTAGAGACGCGAAACGTATAGATCTTTGCAACCGACATTCTACGTACCAATTATTGAGGTTGGTAATACATATCCTTCTTTTCAAAGTTTGCAATAAGATGTGTCCTTACGCAACATCGCGGAACATTGACACTTTCACATAGATGCGAAACAGATTCGTTATTAGAGAATAGAGAGCTAGTTGTCTATACACACCCCAATGCACTTGGTCCATCCAAGCCGCAGAGAATGCAGGGACAACTCCGTGGACCATAAAGCAATATCAGGGGTACCACAAGTGTAGACCAACGGGGAGACGTTTACAGTGAATATAAATGCATGAACATGTAGTTGTGGTTAATGAGTAACATTTCACATCCCGTGCAGTCATGTCCACGCAGTATGTCATTACTGTAATGTCACCGTAGATCATTTGATTCCAAATATTTTTCAATTCAGTCCTATACCAACGCTTACTCAGGCATAATAAATGCATGAACATGTAGTCGTCGCTGCCTTTTTTTGTTCTTGTATCTTTCCCCTGTCGGCTCAGCTACCAAGCCAGCTGCCCCTGAGACGCTGCCACACTGTCACCACCCAAATTCGCAGCCACTGCTGTCGATCCCTCGCAGGTGCAACCAATTTCTTACTTTTGCGGCAAAGTTGAATACCAAACACAGCAGAATTGGGTCGGGAACAAATTGTGATTATTTAATTAGAAATCAAACATTGATTGAATTGATCATGTCGCCACAACGAATCTCTCCAACTGCATAGATCCATATTTCTCCGATGGCATATTTCCCTGAGGTAGTCGATCTAGATTGTGCGGCAATTAGAAGTATGAACATGGCGTGCGGAAGAGAAAAGGACATGATTTTACAAAATCTTAGGGGTTTTGGCTGGATTTGCAAATAAGGTTTTTATTTATACTCAAAACTAAAAATCCGTGACAATCCATATAACCATATTTTATACTCCTTCTATCCACCATAGATCTTCCCAATAACCTTTTCCTTTGTCCACAATAGATTTCTCATTTCATTTTTTAACAAGTAAAATACCACAACTACCCCACTTACTTTATTTATTACACCTCACTCATCTCATTTAATACACTCCACCCATTTTTCATTAAGGGTATTATTGTAAACTTTCACCTTTTTCAACTCTCCTTAAAAACCACTTAAAGTCAAAACAAGAACATCTTAGGCGGACGGAGGGAGTAACAATCATTGAGAATCTATCGAATTTTTAATATCATTAGATTTAGAAAGATTTTCCAAAATTTCAATTGAATACTCTTGGATTTAAAATTGAATACCCACTAATTTTTAAAATACAAAAAAAAACCACCAGACTCATGATTAAATACACACCCCGTCCTCGTGTTTTCCATTTCTAAAAAAATTATTAAATGGGAAACAAAAAATTTATTCATTTAATTTTTATAAATTTAGTTATTTCTTTATTTTAATTTATTTTTTATTCACATTTATACTCATTCATGTAACTATAAAGTATAAGGAAATTAGTTTATTTAAAATACGTATAAAGTATAAACAGAAACACACCGTAATTTTAACTTTTATATTTTAAGGTATGAGAATTTTTTTGTTCAAGGCAACGTTTTAAATTTTTTTAAAGACGGCAATTTTTTTATACACAGTAATTGTGAAAAAGAAACATATCCTTTTTAATATTTTAATTATTACATTGCTTATAATGGAATTACCTTATTTAAAATACCTATAAAGTAAAAATAGAAACACAATTAGTTTTGTTCAATTTTTGGTGTTACTTACCATTTCAACATTCTTTTTTAAACTTAAATTTTTAATTATCAACTTGTATTTATGATTCTTTCTTACCAAAACTGTGTATAAGGAAATTACTTTATTTAAAATACCTATAAAGTATAAAAAGAAACGCAACTATAACTTTAATTTCGATACTTAGAGAATAATTTTTTTGTTCAAGGAAACATTTTCATTTTTTTTAAAGAAGGTAATTTTTTAGACACGATAATCGCGAAAAAGGAACATACCTTATTATTATTATGATTATTATTATTATTGTTATTATTATTATTATTAGTATTATTATTATTATTATTATTATTATTATTATGTTGCTTATAATGAAGTTGCCTTATTTAAAATACGTATAGAGTAAAAAAGCAAACACAATTATTTTTTGAGCGATTTTTTGTGTTACTCATTATTTTAACATTCGTGTTTTAACTTAAGCTTTTTATTACTACGTGCATTAATAATTCTTTCTTACCAAAACCGTGTATAAGAAAATCACTTTATTTAAATGCATATAAAGTATAAATAGAAACACAACTGTGATTTTAATTTCAATACCTTAAAGTATGAGAATATATTCTTTTGTTCAAGGCAACACTTTCATGTTTTTTCAAAGACGGTAATTTTTTATACACGGTAATCGTGTAAAAGGAACATACCTTTTTAAATATTATTATTACATTGCTTATAATGAAATTACCTTTTTTAAAATACGCATAAAATAAAAATGGATACACAATTAATATTTGATTGAATTTTTTTCACACTATCATTTCAATTTCGAAACTTTAAAATTTCATTTATAATATATAATGTTGGACCAAAAAATATTTGGTATGGAATACTTTCTTTCACACGGTACCATAATAATTGATATTTATACTTTTTATAAAAATGTTTTTAAAACTTATCAAACGGTATCATGTTAATTATACTTTTTATAACACAGTACCATAATTAATATACTTTTTATAACACGGCATTAAAAATTTTAAGGTATGAAATTACCTTATTAAAAAATAATATATTACACGGCAATATAATTACCATAATTACCTTTTACACGGCACTTTAATTTATAACACATGGTACATTATAGTTCATAAATATTTATTACCTTCTAGAGGCTTCTATACGTAGGCCACAATTACATTTAACACTTGCCTATTCATGTCGGGCACTTACTTTTTGTGATTTAAGAACATTTAGGCGGAAAATGCAATGGGGAATTCCTCTCTTTTTAAATATAGTATAGATTATTGACATATTGTGTTTCCTTTTTTTAGTTTTGAAAACGTTGGAGCAATTATTTTATATTTTTATTTTATGTTCAAAACGCCGGTTTCTAGAATTTAATATAACTTTAAATTTTGAAATGGAAATACAATACTATAGTGGAAAACATGATACCAAAAATAGCATGTAATTACCTTTTTTATTAATCAATCACGGTGTAATTACCTTTTTTATTAATCAATCACGATGTAATTACCTTGTTTATCACCTTTTTTTATTAATAACGTGATAATAGCGTGAAAATAGTGTGATAATAGCATCCCAAAATATAGTAATACAGTATTAATGGAAATAACATTTTAATACTTATTAATACAAATTTCCAAATAGTAATACAC